GAGCAACTAAAGGACACGGACAGGTTGTCTGTGGGCATTGCATTGGCAGGAAATTATTCTTGACAATTCTTGGCCTGGCCGCTATCGGTGGCAGCCGCGCAGAGCAGTCTATGGACGGTGAATTGGCTGGCCAGGCCAAACGACTCTATTTTCTGGCGCATGAGTTTTCGTAAAAATCTATTCCTTGAACGACGCCTGTTGCAATGATACTCTAGAAACCTGAAACTACAACCGTGGTAGCTGCTTCGGTGTGTCAGAGAGAGAGAGAGAGAGAGAGAGAGAGAGAGAGAGACACGCGTGTGCGTGTCCGTTCCACCATCGATCTGGCGTGTGACTTGAGTGGCTGATTGGATGCGTGTACTATTGGTTGGCTCGTGTAAGTGCTGTGGTTTGACTGGATATGTTGTTGTTGCCTGCCTGTTGTTGTCTGCTTGTCTGCCACGATAGCGGACCAGCTTGGCCCCGTGTACTCAGTGCACCGTGTCCGTATTTACGTGTTCTACGTGTGAACTACAATAACAGCAGAAGGTTGAAAGATGTCTTGAAAAACCGTTGGTTTTGTCCTTTTGAGTGAGTCCCAGTTTAAGTCGAAACACCTTACGCAACCTAGTGGACATTTGCTTGAAATCAGCCTGTGTGGCGTAACTACAAGCTGAAATATCCACACCGAGCTTAATCTAGCTAGCGAAATCCTTGGGACGTGGTCCCTAAACCGCAGTACAATACCAAAATGTTTTTCTTTCAAAGCAGATTCATGTCTGAATGAACTTGAAATCTACAAACCGGTGGGGATCATGTGCGTAGTACACAGACTGAAAGGCAATTGATCACCGTGAATGAGTAACTTCATGGTTTAGTTTGTCCAAGATAGATAAAACGTATTTTCTCAGACGGTCGCCATTTTCACTGTGTGAAAGCGTTATTCAGCCACTTGTGGCCGACCGGTTAAATGTTCGATTACTGGCCGAAAATTCACGAGTTGCAAACTCCGAGTTCCATAAAGCGTGCACTGCGGATGAGTCCCGGTGACAATGGAACAGCTGCTGTACACTGCGTTCCGGGTGCTCAAATGGATTGGGTCCACTTATGGGACGAATTTGCATTAACGACTGCCGAGCTCTTCACCGTAGTTTAACTCCTTTTTTTCAAAGAGTTATTATGCGGTGGACGCAACATGTCTCCTAAGTTCTAAATTAGCCTCCGGTGAAGACACTTCCATGATCGCCAGTTTAGTTTAGTGCACCCCGATCCAGCAGTTACCGGTTGAACGATATCCCGATACATAGTAGGGCTGTTGGGTACTCATCGACAGCTCACGAGCAACATTGTGTACGGTTGAAGGCCATCATTAACAAGAGATTCGGTTGGCATTCGAATAAGTCTCCCGTAAAAGCCGATTTTTGTGCAAATGTGAGCTTTGTCTGACTCTGTACATTTTGCGTTCAACCAGAACACAAGTTTGATGGAAGCTTGTAGACTACTTGATGAATACCAGGAAGTGCAGGACCGACTGTGGACCGTGTCTAAGAGCTTTCAGAAATTTTAGGGGAAGTGTGGTGTATCCTTTTTTATGCAACAACTCAACCCATGTAAATTATTGTGGGATTACCCCACCACGATAAATTTATGCGCTTGATAACCGCTTCAGTTCACAACTCACTGTTATAACTTCTTCCTTGTTTCTTTTTATCCACAGGCTGAGGGTCAGATATCCGTTCAACTTGAGTAAGACGTTAGTTGCACGAGTACCATTGGTCACGCTGCACGGGGACTTCCGGGTTCGATGTTTGCCACAGCGTTTGTCTAATCGTAAAACAAATTTATGACGCTCTCGAGTATGTAGCCAACAGCTCCTCGTCCATTGTTTTGTATCGCATAGCTGTAGTGATGATCAATCTGTGCCAATGTTCTCCTGTTTACCGGTCAGGTAGTTTGTGAATCAGGACAGCTTTACCGTTTCACACGCGATTATGAACACAGGTGATGGAAGGACTGGCGGAAAGGCTGTTTGAGTTACTCCAATAAACATATTTCGGTACACACACAGTTTGGTGTTCTCTCGGAAGGAAAAATGGAAATGGGCTGACATTAGGGAAGCGATTTCACGTTTTGTGTATAGCCGGTATTGGGCCGATAGTAGGGCATTTCATGACCCTTTGTACAAGTTAGGGAGAGGACAAGTCTGCAAGTGGGATTAAGCACCTCTTAGCAGGTAGCAACCTCCGACTGGGAAAGGATTTCTGGTGCTTTGGGGGAGACAGATTCACCTTTTAGGTGTGGTGCAGTCAGACAGAGTGGACGAATTGTAGTTCGCACAAGGGTGGCACTTTTTCCCTGTTGACAATGAATTCGAACGAACATTTACTTTTATTTTGCCTCTGGGGGGACTGGGTGCCAGTTACCTTCAAAAAAGGCCAGATTGCACCGCAACAGGTTCCTACCGAGAAAAATTACGGCACCTGGTAAAATGGATACGTACTTTAAAGTTGAATTTTCATTGTGTCTGAGGTCGGCGTCCATTACATAACTGCGGAGAAGGGACAAGTATCTATTCGTACTTGGCTACACGTGAATATTTCCTTGTGTGATTAAAATAGACTGGCTGTTCAGCTCAGTAAAACTGTGTTTCCTCTTGAATACCAAAAATTGTAGGGGTGTGAACGAACCGTGAGAATATGATATCCATCCATTCGGCAGATCCCTCCATATTCATAATAATGACACTAAAACACCCCTATTATAGGTAGGGAGCTGGTGAGAGCTGGTATGCAACGGATAGCAAGTGTCAACCAATATTCTGCAAGTTGAGTAGGCACAGATTGACTCGTAACGACTGCGCGCATGCGAGTAACATAGTTTTCATTAACCAAAGAAGCAAAACAGTTGAGTTTAGGACCGGCTTACCAAGCGAGAAGCATGCGGGCCATGTTCGCTTTGGAATCCTGTGTGTTGATGCTGATCGTTCTTTCTACTATCTCAGTTCTACAACGAAAGTGGATTTCAACTAATACACTCATCTACATATCAATAAGGTTTTCACAGGAGACCCACCTGGAACCCAGCTGATGTTTGTGATCGGGGATATCAATCGACTTTCGTGCAATTTTGGTTCAGTTAGAACATAAGGTTCGCGGAAACTGGGGAACTGTGTCTAACTGATGAGCCGCAAGAAGGGTGAAACCGGTCATGCGTTGTCCGAGTTTTTAGAAGTTATACTTGTTTGTAGTGTGAGATATGAAGAATTTTTAACGAGGACTTCGTCCTGTAAGTGAATCCAGTCTGTACTGGGAAATCGAGAACAGCTATACGGCTGCACAGTTATTTCATCCTCACACTACAAACGATCGATAAGTAGCTTAGGAAGAAAACCAGTTCACGTGACGAGCGGACCCTCCATCTGAGTAGTCGTCACTGGTGGAGCCAGTCAACACGTGACCGAAATCTTCGATGAAATTTTCCAGTCGAGTCAGGTTGTGAAGATACGCATATTTACTATCAAAACACCGGTGAAAGAAAAAAGGCCCTCACCGCGGAGTCATTTCTCAGAAAAGTTCACGTGACGAGCGGACCCTCCATCTGAGTAGTCGTCACTGGTGGAGCCAGTCAACACGTGACCGAAATCTTCGATGAAATTTTCCAGTCGAGTCAGGTTGTGAAGATACGCATATTTACTATCAAAACACCGGTGAAAGAAAAAAGGCCCTCACCGCGGAGTCATTTCTTAGAAAACACCACCTGAACAGTTACTGACTATTGGCCTGGGGAGCAAAACTCTCATATGCACCTTGTTTATAAACTGAGTATCCGTCTCCGAACGCGCCGTCCTGATCTATTACTCAAATTTAAACGAATGCTACAAAGCAGCTCCACAAATTCCACAATAAATCCCACTTTCCAATAGGCATGAAGCGGAGTTACGAGAAGAAATACTACTCGCATGCCTCATCAGTAATATCCACCGTTACATCGGTATGTGAAGTTTATCTAACCACGTCACGCGAAGCTTTTCCACAGAATCTCTGAGGACTGGGCAGAATGATGAGAGCGGAGCATCGTTTTCTTACAGGTGAGGTTCAGTTTGTTCATTCAGGTGAAAAACGCTTGGAACCGATTGAGTAGTCATCTTTTTCGGAAAAGTTTGGTAACAGTTGGTAAATCGGTGCCCACCAATAAATCTACCAATTGTTACCGAGCGTCTTGGAAAAGATTCATTTCGGTCACAAACTTCATTCGTTCATATGGAAATCGAACATACTCACGGTCACCTCATGTACTCCAATTCTCCAATTCCCTGAGGAGACTCAATATTCATGATATCCAAGTCACACACGGCACAGATACCTTTTCTGTCACATTTCCAGGTTGTTCTGCGCCGCATGCGTTGCTTCCAACTTATCCTGGGAATGCCCCTGGCTTTCAAGTCTGATTTATGTGATATGGAATCAACCCACGTGATTATACGGTAAGAACTATGGGAAATTTATGTGAAATCTTCCGGTGTAATGGCCGGAAGCGAGATACGCATGATCACGTGATTTACTTTATTGATAAATTTGGTTGCGTCGTACACGTGGTGACCACAGAAATCAGAAGTTAACAAAAAGGATATGGTTTTCTAAAGACTACAAAATGAACCTGAAAAACCGCAAGAACATCCGAGAAATCATTTCTGACTGTGAGTGTTGAGTGCGCGTTCTCACAATTTGAAATAGGGTCATTTCTAACCATTTCGTGCTGCAGCCACGATGTATGAAACACGTTCGTGGCCCCATTACTCCTCTGTTTTGATTTCCTACCCCTTCGCATCCCTCCACTTGCCAGTTGCCTTTGCTTGAAAGTCGTATCCTTTGTTAGTCGAGGCCACACCCGGGGAAGCAAGGGAATTGAGCCTCGATATTGTTTAAGCTTCTCAGCAGTACGTAGCGTTGGCCGTATCGGGATTCGGACCTCCGATGAGCAAGGCAAGCGTACTACTAACATTCCAGTTTTAACTTCGTGACGGGCAGGAAAGTCGGTCAAATCTTGTTTACGGTCGATACAATTACAAGGTTAGAAAATGCAAATTTCAAATTCATATTTGGTTGAGCTACCGATTTTCGGATAACAATGAGCCTAGAGACAGTGGAAAGCAAGACCATATGGCATGGTTAGCTTACCGGCATGTGGAAACATCTGGATTGTGCGTTGGAGATGAAGCCAGGTTTGGTGTGTGGCGCGTCTGTTTTTGTTGAAACCATGCTTGTTGTCCGAGCACCAGATGTGGCAACACCATACGGCCTGAGTGGAAAAGGCTTGGCAAAGAGGGATTTGAGAGGCTTACTTGGTCGAAACCGAGCGCAAGTAAGTGAGAATTCAAAGTGACTTCAAAGTCAACTTCAAGGTTCCGGCGAATCAGCCCGTTAGATTGCATTGAAGCAGTCACTCATCATCAGGCTATAAAGCTCTGTCCACTGTGTTGATGAGAGGTAGGTACACACTCTACTGCTTCCTTGATCCAGGACAGATGGTCCGAATCGTTTCCACGGGACGGATACCAGACCTACCGAATGCACATACTCCTGTTGATTCCTCCTGTGAACTGTCAGGATGCGTCCAGACATGAAAAAAGCACATGTGCAGAGAGTGACGCCTCCTCAAGGTCATCATCGGTACGTTCCGGATAGCAGGCGAGTTGGCGGAGCTCACCTAACATGGCTTAGCAACATATGACCAGAGGAGTGGGGCTGAAAGTGTTCACGACCGGAACACCGCCGTACCGAACGAACAAGTGAACGACCATAATTGGTTATTTAGTCATCCAATATATTTACGCTGACAATACAGCCGTGTCCAGGGTTCTCTGTCTTCTCCTTATGGCGTAGTCTTGCAGGACTCAGTTCAGGCGTAACCAATAGACGGCCAGCCACGATACAACAGAATCAACGGCAGTCAGCGCTTATCTTTTCTATTTGTTTGGCTACTCATGAGTAGCGTGAGTCACGCATGTTTACCGTAACGCCGTTTTGCTTCCCTGACACTCGCTTCCCCGTTTCTTTGCTCCCCGATTAAAGTTTGCTTAGCCCTAGTTACTAGAATCACGAGATTCTGCCTCCTATCCGTCTGCATTTGCAATTTCGAGTGTCTAACCCCATGGAAGAGAATTGATATGGACGTCTTACCTGATAGTGCCTTTTGGGGGTTTGTTTTAATCAAACCTAAGCGAGGATTTCAATATTGATTCGCAGCACGTGCTGCTTTGTCATGCTTTCAGCCAAAAACTGCAGGACAATAAGCCTGTAAACCTGATTCGCGCCTACTGAATACGAACTGTGTATATTCCAACAGTTCTGACCTTTGGCCACCCGGATCGCACAATCCTAATGTTGATTTTTTAGCCAATTCCAAGCTGAATTTGGCTTTTTCATCTAGGTATGTTAACCGGAGATGAAATTACGGGGAATACTCGCTTTTATCCTTCAGAATGTACAGAATCCTCGGTGTGATGTATACTTTACAGATTTTAATGTCTTGATGTAACGGGTGCCTTAGGGTTCAATAAAGCAGAACTCATGAAATGTATCCTTCGACAGTACAGGCTAAATAACGACCGTCTCAGATAGGTGGATGGATAAAGATTTTCATTTGGAATTTCTTTCTTCAGGTGAATTCATGATAAATCCATGATAAAAAGCTGTTCCACTTTTATTCGGAAGCGTCAGCAGTGCGCGTCTCACTAAACTTCAGTAGGGATTTCCGAACTAGTGACCCCAGATTACTACTTTGAACACGTAACTTTTCGACCTCGGAACAGCAGAGTGAGCAGTTCTCAGCATATATCGTCACTCAA